ACATCTGCTAAGCAGGACACATCTGCTAAGCAGGACACATCTGCTAAGCAGGACACATCTGCTAAGCAGGACACATCTGCTAAGCAGGATCGTGAGGCCAGAAAGCGCCCTCTGCTGTCCTGGTCTCATGATTCTCAGTACTTTGCTATTGCCTGCGAAGAGGGAATCAAAATTTATCACATCACCAAAGCTTTGGGACCGGTTGTGGAGGTATCCTTCACGGACCACTCTGGCAACAAAATTCCGTACTATCCCGCTCCTGGTGCAACCTTCTCGTGGCAGCCTAATTCGCGTGTGAACGATCCTGCCGTGTTGGCAGTTTGGACAGCCAAGCCCAGAGACGTTGCGCCCAGTCGTCTGACTTTGGTAGAGGTGCCTTCCTTCAAGGTCTTGGCTACTCGCAACATATTCAGCATTGACGGCATCGCCAGAATCTACTGGAGCCACCATGGAGAGTACTGTGCCCTCGTTACCCAAATCCAGGCTAAAGCCGTCATGGGACAGAAGAGGGCCGTACACTCGCAGTTGGATGTCTTTACGATGAAGGCATTCAGGGGATCTCTTCCCGTAAGTTCAGTCACTGTTCCTCACGAGATCATGACAGTATCGTGGAGTGAGTCTCGCGACCGACTCGCCGTTCTAGCCGTGAACAAACAAGTTATCTTCTACACAGTCACCAAAAAGGGTCTTGAGGAATGCGGAGAGCCGATGGATGTTCCTCGCGAAATCAATACTATCTCCTGGTCGCCCCTCGGAACACATTTTGTATTATCGGCTTGCTCAATTGAGGAGAGCGCTGGTACTCTGTGGTTCGGTGTGTGCTCTGATGTATCTACTTCCACGAATGGTGCAGGTTCTGGCTACTCTGGTTCCGGTGCTGGTTCAGGTGCTCGTCTAATACCTGGAGTTGGACTGTCGGGCAAAGGCGTAGCAACGAACGCTGCGACCCGATCGATCCCGGGAGCTCCCTCTGGGTTTAAGACCGCGACAGGATCCTCTGGCACCGTCACCGCTGGCTCTAGCAAGTTGTTTACTCCGGAGATTTTGTTCAAAGGTGAACAGATGAAGTTGCAGCACGTGGATTGGGACCCCAGTGGTCGCTACGTGTCGACAAGTGTTTCATCTCCTGTTGGCTCCAAGTCCGGTTATAAGTTTGACGAGATTGCTGGCTACACTCTTTGGTCATGTCAAGGGAAAGCAATTTTCAATGCAGGCGTTGAGGGGCTTCACAGGTTCCAATGGAGGCCGCATCCGTTTGTTCACATGCCGGAGTCCAGGAGAGAGTTAGTCAGGGAATCGTTCAATCAATATACGAAGACATTCGAAGCCCAGGACAGCAAGCGGAAGACTGAGCGACGAGAAGAAGCTATGAAGTTTAGCAAACAGCAAAGGGACACTTTTCAGAAACTATTGCGGGCAGCACAGGATGGCTGCCGGGCACTGCCTGAATCTGAACAGTGGGAACAGATGGAGGCGGAGTATCAGAAGTCGAGGCAGTTAGTGAAGCACGTGAAAGAGAATTGGCGCGAAATTTCGGTCACTGTTAAGCCGGCCGTTGTGCCATCAAATTAACCAAATTTCAGCTTTTTATTGTGAACATTGTTAGCTAGACATTCTGCAACGCATCATTGACCTAGGTGATGACGATCCTTCTGGGTGATGACGATCCTTCTAGGGGATACCGGTTGCAGGCTGATGCGCGCTCCGTCGGCAGTAATTGGGCATTAGCATTCGTTCGTTCATTCGTCATTGTTGGGTCATAGCGGTGGCCAACTACAAGTCAAAGAGATACGTACGGTTTTTTGGCGCCTGAAAGCGCATGCCGAAAGAACTCATTACTGGAGATCTCCGCTCCTGTCCGCATTGCTCCTGACCGCATTGCTCCTGACCCCATTGCTCCTGACCCCATTGCTCCTGACCGCGTTACTGGAGCATGGAGGATTCGTCATGGTCCTCTTGGTACTCCTCTTCGGGTTCCTCCTCCAAGGTGAACAAGTCGGCGGCGTCGAAATCGAGATGTTTGCCGCTGACACACACGCGTGCGACGGCACCATCAGGGTTGATTGCAATCTTTAAGTGCGTGGCCGGGACTGGATTTTTGAGGGTTACAGTGTATTCCTCGTCCCCCTCAAGGTCGTCAATGGTTCCGAACTCGAACCACTCGAGTCTGGCGTGGTGGTTGGCAAAGAGGAGTTGTTGTTGAAGGACGGTCATTTTTCTGGTCTGGGAGGAGTCGAGGACACTGACGAACACTTTGTAGGGCAGGTCGCCGTGTATGCCGGTGGTGCTAACGTCCACGGAGTGGACGAGACACCTGGCCGCGAGAGCGATAATAACTTGGTCTTCACCAGAGAAGGGTATATCCTCGCCCACCAAAGGTTCCTTCACGAACATTGGCCTTAGGGGCTGTCGCGGCGTAATCCATACCTGGTCGTTAACCGGCTGTATAGCCATGACCGGGTGGATCACTTGAGAGTCTCGACGGTCGGCCTGGGGGTTGTCGTCAATGAGCGAACCGTTTACGAGCAGGTTGGCCGCGGTTTCCCAGCCAGAGGATGCGTACACGACTTGCGCGCCGATCGCACCGTCCGCGTAGTTCAGCAACCTCGAGGGCAGCTCTCTCTCCTTCATCTTGAACACGCCGCCCAGATCCAGCGCACATTCGCCGTACACCCACAGCTTCTGGATCCCGCCGTCGGGCAACAAATTCACCAACAGAACGTCAATCTTCAGGTCTTGGCCGCACACATCCTCAGGCGTTACCTCAAAATAATTGCTCTGATTCCGCTTCAATGGAGACCTACAACAAACTACGTTACACCCAACCTGACTTACACGCCAACCACACTTCTCCATGCAGATTGCGTATCTATCAGTTTACTCGCGCGCTCTACACAAGAAACAGAGTAACAGGAGAGAGACGGCAGAGGGTAACAAAGAAGCGTGATGAAGGGCATCACCTTGGATTTCCAGAGGCACTCCGACCGAGCCCCCAGATAGACATCCTCGGTCAGCTGCGCGAGGCGTGAAATTCGGAAATTCGTTTGTCAACCTGTCATACAATACTAGAACGAAAAAGAGGTCTGTTAGGTGGCGCACACCAACTGGCACTGGTGGTGGTCCATATCTTGTGGTGGTCAATATTCCATGGTGGTGGATATGTCGTGGTGATACTGGGTGGTGATACTGAGTGGTGATACTGAGTGGTGATACTGGGTGGTGATAATGGGTGGTGATACTGGGTGGTGATACTGGGTGGTGTGGTATGGGGGTTCCCGTGGCTTTGGCGTACGTCCGGTGAGGTTGATGACGTCCCAAGCACCTTCGATGCTTATGTGTGGTGGTGCGTCGTTTCCGGTGGTGATGAGTATTCCACGGACGATAATAGGCACGGGGAGTTTGATTAGGCACCATTCGTGGCCGGGTATCCTTCGTCTGCGGGTGATCCAACCTCTAGTCGACGGCGGATGTCTGTCGTGTTGGAGTATATCTGAAGCGGAACAGCGGTATTCGTCGGTAGCGAAGATAACGTGTGCTCCCAAACGTGCATCACAAAAGTTAGTCATCTTCGTAAAGGTGGGCACATGGTCGCTCAACGATGCCACCCGTGGTATCCGGTAAACCGGACGCTCTCCCCCGACACATGTCGCCTCCAGTTTAGACGACCTAAAAGGATGCGCTAACTTCGCCGTCAAAGAACCCAATAAACCTTCGTCACAACGAGCCCGCTTTGCCCGGAACATAATTTTTATGCACTTCCTTTAATGGACACACTCATCTGGGACCCAATCGTTGTGGCCTGTCTAGTCCTTGTCGCCGGCCTAATCTCCGGACTTACCGTTGGTATACTTGGACTCGACCACATCGAACTAAAACTCAGAGAGCAAGAAGGCGACCTAAAGATCTCGTACCATTCCCACCCTCTCGTGCTGGTACCTCTCTCGTGGTTCCAACTGTGGTGATTGTCTGTGTCATTTTAGACGTGTGATTCATATGTTGAAGCGCAAACACTTGATCCTTGTATCATTACTGATCGTCAACACGGTATGTCAGGAGACATTGCCACTGTTACTTAACGAGATGATGCCTGAGTGGGCTTCGGTAGTGTTCTCAGTAACGTGCGTTTTGTTATTCGGTGAAATCATTCCACAAGCCGTTTGCTCCGGTTCCTATCGAATGTCTATTGTGCGATTTTGTACACCGTTGGTCAGGGTAATCAGTTGGATTGTGTTCCCTCTGGCGTACCCCATCGCTAAGCTTCTGGATTGGATGTTAGGAGCACACACGGAGAAGTATTACGGCCGAAACGACCTCAAAGCGGTTATCCGCATCCACCAGAAACCCAGCAGCGTCGACCTTAATAAACTTAATGAAGGCGGGGGCACGGAGTCCATGGACCGCCGTGGAGATGAAGGGTTGTTATCTGACGAAGTCATCATCATCGAAGGCGCACTGGACATGGCTAAAAAGACCGTGGAAACCATCATGGTCAAAATTGCCGACGTGTACGCCTTGGAAGAAAAGGCGCGTCTAACAATGGAATTGAGGAAATCGATTGTCGAGGCCGGGCATAGCCGTATACCAGTCTACCGGGAGCAGATTTCGAACATTGTGGGAATGGTCTACATCAAGAACTTAATCACCGTCTCAGACTCCACCTCACCACCCGTCGGCCAGCTAATTGACCTCGACCGATTCCCTATCTTCATTCGGCCAGACCATAATTTATACGACCTAATGAACACTTTGCAAACTGGAAAACACATCGCTCTCGTTACCGACAATCCGGAGGCCCAACTCCGTGCCTGGGAAGCGGAACAAAAGAGAGTCAGGGCACACATCGATGTCCCCAACGCTAACGCCCCCACGACTGTCAATGATGCCACAAGAGACAGTGATACGAGGAGGGACAATGATGCCACAAGGGCCAATGACGTCCCAGGGGGCGCCGAAAATCAGAGTGCTGCCTCTGCCTCTGAGTACATACAGGACGGCAATATCGCGTCAGAAGGAGTTGAGTTTGGCGAAATTGCTGAACAGGTGCATCACGCAAAGTACCCCGTTTCCCACAATATTCTGGGACTGGTCACGATCGAAGATGTGCTGGAGGAGCTGATTCAGGAAGAAATTTATGACGAGTTCGATAAACCTGTTCCCGCTTTGATGGCTATGAAGAAGTCCATACGTGCGTCGAACGATGTCAGCGCTGGAGGCATCTTGGACCAGCTTGAACAAGGCTTAGAGAAGAATGCCGCCGTCCAGATCAGCACTACCGAGAAACCCGGGCCTAGGGCCGGCTCTGGCAAAACGAAAATTTCTGTCATCAAAGTGTCGCCTACCCGGCGATGAACGATGTTTTGCAGGATAATGTTCAGCAAACGATTTAGATAGGTAATGAAGATAGATTGTGCAGGGAGGTGCGGTATCCACCTGTGGCAATCACGGGCAGTGTTTATCAGTGCGTGGCGCTGACTGACCACGTTCACTGACGGTGACGTGGTCAGGCTGATCGATGTACGCGAGGCTAATCGATGTACGTCAGGCAGCTGATGTTCATCACGGCGGAGATATCTATCTAGATCTTTGCGGACCGATTGGCGGGTCTTGGTTTAGGTGGTCCAGATTTGGTCTCATTGCTGCTGGCGGGGTCTGGTTGAATTTCTGCCATCAAAAACCAAGGCGCCGGGTTCTGGTTCTATCTGCTCTTTGGTTCTAACTCGTAGCGCCATGCACAACAAGAACGGCTATATACAGAGTCGCCAGTCGGAGCGGAAGTCTGGCCGCGACTTGGCCGGGGAATTGACATTGAAGCAACGGCCCCGACCGGACGCGGCAAATGGTGCATCGCTTCTGCCGGATAACGTCTTTCTGACGAGCAACACGAAAAGAGCACCGGATCATGGTCCAGTTCTAGGGGTTGTTCCAGGTATGGTAGTGGGCAGTCGCACAGCACTGCCGGAGAAGGAACTGCAGTTGTTATTTGGTCATGTTCAAGCGTATGCCACCACCGCTCGATCTTGTCCCCACCATGTCATTCACGATTTCTGTGCCCCGGTGTATTGCTCTCCGTTGTAGGAATCCTGAGGACGTAGATGCGGTAGTCGAGCTCAAAGAAGACGAGTCCTCATCGGGTCAGTCGTCGGAGAGCGAGGACGACGACGAAGCCCTTGCCCGAGAGCTGGAGGCGATTCGACGCGAGAGACAAAAAGCGGAGGTTAAATCCGAGCGGGAAACTGCGCTAGAGGGGTTGGCGGAGAGCTTGAGAGAGGGCCGCGTTGGCTTGTCTAAGTCGTGGACGGAAGAAGCCGTTTTCAACGTCAAAGTGTCCGATCCCGGCACGACCAGCGCACAGTATGTCAATGACACCGTAAGGTCAGAATTTCATAAACGCTTTTTGCAACGTTACATCCATTAGGGACGACATCCATTAACAACGTTGCATCCGCTAGCACACTCGACAGTACATAATCAGCACGGTTACAGTGTATCGTACCCTTAGCAACGTTGCGTCTTCACAATAACCACTTGGTTATATAAGACTTGCTAAGTGTTTATATGAGTATGCTGACTCCATGGCTGGGCCCTTCTTCAATTTCGGCGAGAGCCAGCGAGGGCCCATTTTTGCGCGTTGCGCGTGGTTTGGCGGCTTTCCCGAGAAGACAGGGTCAAGTGCCGGCCTTGGCTGCGAGTTTGGCTAAACATGATTCTTACAGCACGTGCCCTGTGTCGATGGTGCAGCAGCGTGTCGCGACTGTGAAAAGATTCCACACGAAAAATTCCAGTGAGCAAAGTAGTATGGATTTCATCCCTGAGCCTAAGCTTCCCTACGCCCTGAATGCCTTGGAGCCACACATCAGCGCTGAGACGCTCAAATTCCATCATGGCAAGCACCACATGGCCTACTACAACAAGACCAAGGAGCTGACTCAAGGCAAGACCCCGGTCACACTAGAGGAGCTGGTGGCGACTGCCGAAGGTGGTTTGTACGATCAAGCTGCGCAGCTATGGAACCACGGCTTTTATTGGCAGTGCCTCGGCTCGAACCCCGACAGCAAGGACGTGAGGAAGCCCACAGGACCGATCGCGGACTTGATCAACTCCTCTTTCGGCTCATTCGATGCCTTCAAAGAAAAGTTCGACACCATGGCCAAGGGCGCCTTCGGAAGCGGCTGGGTTTGGCTCGTTAAGAAGGGCGACAAACTCGAGCTCATGGAAGGCCACGACGGCGATTGCCCACTCAAGGGCGACCGCGGTCGACCCCTGCTTACCATCGACCTCTGGGAGCACGCCTACTACATCGACTACAAAAACTCCAGACCCGATTACATCACAGCGTACTGGAGCCTCGTCAACTGGGACTTCGTCAACCAACAACTAGGCGCCAAAACCTACAGCTACCAAAAGGCAAACTAACTACTTGCCATACGACCAAAACACGCACTTGGAGCCCGCACAAAGGACCAGACGAGTTTGATGGCAGGGTGTAATTTTTTGAAAAGCAACTTTTGGAAACATTTCACCCAAAATGCGCTGAGCACACGACAAGCAAGGCCTACCACAAGCTCAAACATGGCTAACGGAAATGGCTTACGACGCGCATGGTGACGATCCTTTGGTCAGACAAAAAAGCTTTTTGGGCCTGTTCCGACAGGAACCGGAATTCACGAACGAGCCCCGAAAGAATTAACGGGCATACTTGATGACCAAATTTCTGGAATCAAACGCAACCATACAACCTTGGCTTGAAGACTGCTTCATCTTCCAAGTCCGTCACCAGCACCAACACATTATTGTCGCCAAGGGCTTTGATGCTTTGTATTATTTGGGTTGTGTCAATGTTGGCCTTAACGCAGTCTTGACCGGCAATGGTTTGGCGCACCCCTTGGGATGGCGTTTTCGGTCTTGGGGTTATGGTGTTGCCATCCACGAGGAAGATGTGTGTGTGGGTGGCTAGAATCAGTTGAGATGGAGAGACGAAGGCGGCCGAGTGGACGAGAACAGGGGAACTGTTGTTCTCTGGTTTCAGATTGAACATTTTATGTATCCAGGTCTTCGTGGTCACGTCATACACGTCAGCGGTCCCCCTGGGGCCGTCCACTGCCATTAACTGGTTGGTACCAACGGCCCAGGCGTTGGCGGACCGCTGGACGTCTACGAGGCTTGTTACCTCCCCGGCCGAAGAGAGCGCAAGCAACTTGGACGGCCTCACTCCGTCAACGCTCTGGAGCAAAACCAGTCGGTTGTCTCCGTCTACGGCGGGCGACACAACTATACGCGAAATGGGGTCATGCGTCGCGCGGTAGAGCTCCATCACTCGGTCCTGTTCCCAGTTGACGAGATGTAGGCCGGCGGACACGACGGGGTGCTTGCGCTCGTTCAACTCGACTGTGGCAGTGGCAACCAAAAATTGGTCAATATCATCCCCTTTAGGCAGCGGCCAAATTCCCGTAATCATCGTCTTGCCAAAGGTCTTTATTATGGTCTTCTTCTCCTTCTTCTCCAGTACCTTCACCTCCAAACTCTGCGTGTTCAGGCCGATGAAGGCGGATCGTCCGTTAGTCATGTTCACAAAGATAACGTACTCGTATCCTTTGGACCAACAGACCGTTGCGTGCGTCAATGCGTGCCGCAGTTTCACTTCAGCAATTTTCACCACATCCACGGGCCTCTCGCTGGTGTCTATTTTGTCCAAGGCTTGGCAGAGCGGGTTCCGCAGCGCCGACCGCGCCCGCTCCAAAATGGCGGCGTGCAGCTTGCCCCCGTTCTTACTAGACGAGATGGTGATACCCCAGGCGATCAGCACCTTGGTTCCCGCCCCCTCCAACAGCAAATTGTCAGCTCCGTACATATTGGCGTTTTCCAGCGGCGTGCTGGCCTCCTGGACAACGCCGTGGCTCCGGAGACAGCCGAACTCCTTTAAAGAGAAATAACTCCTTATAGTGCCGTCAGCGGTGACGGCGACGATGCGCTCTGAGGGCTTCAGGACCAGAACCGCGACACATTCGCTGTACTGCGCTTGCCGCACACACGTGGGCGAAAATTCAGATTCCGACGTCAGAGTGTACAAGCTCACCTTGCCCGACAGCGAGGCCGTCAAAAACGAGCGCTGCCTGGGTCCGTCAACAACAGTAATGTCCATGACGGGTGCGCGGTACGGTTCCTGATATTCTTGCAAAATTGTAAAGGTGGTTGCATCCACCAGACATACCTGCCCGCTGCTGTCTCCAACGAGCAGTGTGGTGGCGTCCAGCGGCCGGAGGGCGCAGATGACGTTCTTGTCCTCTAGAAACTTGCGCTCCGCCCTGCGCACCGCCTCCTCTCGCTGTTTTTCCTGTTCTGCCGCCAGCTTGAACACATTCACGCCGGCATCTAGCACCGCGGGAAGCGGCTCCAGCTGCGGCTCGATGCGCCGCCGTTTGAGAACCCCAGAGGTCTTGCAGGGTAGTTTGATGCAGTGACCTACGGGTCCCCCCGCGCTGGGGTTGAAGGGCACCAGACGGGAGTCGTCGGTTCCGACGAAGCCCAGCGAGGCCGAGAGGACGCTAACACTCGTCAAGCACTCACCCTTCTCGCAAGCGCCCTTCAACATTACTCGGCCCGCACGCAAAGCAAACGGCGCCGTCGTCCCCTCCACGTCATCCACCACCACCTCGTGCACGTTGCCCGTCATGCAGGCCACAAAGATCCTCATACCCAGCACCGCCACGTCCCGAGCGGGACTCGCCAGCCGTAACACATCTAGCACTTGGCCCGCAGCGTTCCACAAACGAACCAAGCCCGTGTCCGACAAGGATATAAAGTAGTGACTGTCAAACGGACTGTCCTCCAGCACCAAAATCTTCTCTATCTTCTCTTCCGAATCATCTACATAATACGTCTACAACAACATCCCGTCCTTACGTCCCTCTCTCCTGTGTTTCCTCCCTCCCGTGTGTGCTGCGTGTGGACTCAATTCGCCCGGCACTCTCGTCCCGCCGGCGACTTACCCGTAAGGTTTGGCAAGAGATGGCGTCTACGACGTGTACAGCGCTCTTTCCGCTGGCCAGGTATAGCAGGTTGCGCGCGGCGGCCGCCGCCCGGTACTTGGTCGAGCCCGCCTTGCCGAGCTCGGCATACGCGGCTGTAAGCATTTTTATTCTCGGTGAAAAAACTCTTCTCTCCCACCCATACCGTGCTTTGTCTGCTACCCTACCCAGGCTCCCGATTCAGAGGCCGAACCCAAGCACTCGATTGTTAGAAACCGGACTCAGAGACCATAGTTAGAAACTTCGGAGAACCGTAATCGTTGACCCATAGTGAGTAGCGAGCAGCGCTGTCCGACCTCGGCAGAGGTGCAGTTTACTCTTCGGCGGGTTCCTCGGCCGCGACGGCGACGGTCTTGTTGGCCTTGTCGAGGGCCTTGGCGTAGACGTCGAGGGGCGACTTGGCGGTGTTCCCGGAGATGGCCCAGAGGTTCGGGGTGAGGACGCCGTAGGTCTTGCTGAGGGCGCGGTAGTAAGCGCAGACGAAGTTGCCCGAGGTACGGGTGTGGCCGCTGGAGCAGGTGAAACAGTCGGCAACGCCAGCGAAGTGGAGCACCTTCTTGGCAATGGGGGATCCCACGATGCCGGTTCCACGGGGGGCAGGAATGAGCCGGCCAAGGACAGAGGCGCACTTACCGCTGACCTTAAGAGGCACGGTGTGGGGTGCGCCGATGTTGCTACCCCAGTATCCACGACGCACGGGCACGATGGCGAGCTTCGCGCAGATGATAGCACCGCGGATGGCGGTGGCCACCTCCTTCGCGCACTTGGTGCCGTAGCCGATGTGCCCGTTGTTGTCACCCACAATCACAAACGCCTTGAAACGCGTCCTCTGACCGGAAGCAGACTGCTTCTGGACCGGCTTGATGCCCATCACTTCGTCGTGCAACACAGGCTTGCCCGACTTATCTTCCACGGCACCCGGACCCGACCGCGCGTAAAAGTAGTCCACGATCTGCGCCTCCTTGATGGCGAAGGAATAGAGGAAGATATCATCCAAAGTGCTGATGGAGCCAGACTTCACCAGGCGGCCAAGATTGGTCACGGGAGTCCACTCCTCACGTCCTTCCTGACGCCGGGGGTTGGGACGAGGTCCACGAGGCCCTCCACCCATGCCGCCAGCCGCACCGCCGAAACCGGACTGGTATCCACCGCGCTGCTGCGGTTGCTGTTGTTGTTCAGTTGCAGGAGCAGTCGTAGCTAAAACAAAGGCGTAAGGTGTATGCCGCGCACTTGTGTGTGTGTTTTCGCTCAAGTGTCCGTCACACGTGTGGGCTCATTCGCGGGCATGGGCGCATGACGTCATGTGTGTGCCTGGCGCCCGCACGCCGTGTAGCCCCGGCGAAGAGTGATGTCAGTAGGCCCGAGACGGTAGTCCGGCAGCCAGATGGCTCCTGGAGTGTGTGCTTACCCATCGTCGTCGCTAGGTCAAAAAAACCCTCCGGAATGCCAAGTTTGGAACCAAAAAAAAAGACGACGTAACAAATGGACCGAGTCGTAAGCCACGCAGTGCAGCACCCGTACACTACATGCCTGAGCTACGGCCTGGACAGCGGGGAAACCATTCCGGTATGCCACCATGAGCTCGTGGGCGCCAGCGCCGTGCTCGCCCAAGCCATGACTAAAGCCTACGCCAAGAAGAAAAGCACGTCCATTGACGCCCTCTACGTACTGCCCGCCAACAATGCAATTGGCGTGGATCTTGAGCACAACCTGGTTGTCAACTCCTTGAAGGGGGACGCTAAAGTGACTCCCGTAAGCACACAACCAACGGCCTGGAATAAACACAACGACCAGCCCCCAGACGGCAAGTATCCAGCTTTTGTCTTGTCAGGTAGATGACGACGTCATCGCGAAAGTGAAAGAAGTTTCGAGGTCAAAGGTCTACGACTTAGAAGATTCGTTGAACTTGGTGGAGGGCGGTTGTCTCTTCAGCGATTAGCCGCAGAGGCTGTCGTCCCGCACTGGCTGTCGTCCCGCAGTGGCTGTCGTCCCGGCATCCCACCCGGATGCCGTCATAGTGCGTGCTGTGTGCTTAGAAGCGCTTTTTCGGGGAGTGCTTAGCCGCCCTCATTCGGGATGAAATCGCGTGCGATAAATCCGAAGTCCTGGGGCAAGGTTGCACGCCACGTGGGTTCAACGTTGCGGGGCCGTCGGGGCGCGTGTGGGATTGGGTGGACGGGTTGTTTTCGAGAGGGGGTTTTTTTTTTGAGGTGCTGAGATGGACGCGGTGACGTTGGGCACGATATTGAGTGGCTTCTTGTCGAGCCAGAACGATGTGCGGAAGAACGCGGAGGCTACCTTCAAGAGTCTGAAGCAACAGCAGCCGGGTGCATTGGCGGGTGTTTTGTTGGAGATAATGGGTACGTCTGCGAACGCGACGTTGCGGCAACAAGCGGCTTTGTCATTCCGTAACGTTTATCGCGAGTTTTGTCTGGGCGAGGCTTCGAACGCGTGGGTTACGCTTGATGAGGCGACGCAGGAGAATTTCAAGAGCAAGTTGCTAGAGTGTTTGAAACAGGAGGCGGACCCGACGGCAAAGCGCGCTATTGGCAACGCCGTAGCTGAGTTGGCCGACGCGATCATCATGGCCCAAAAGTCATGGGTCGAGGTCTTTGCCGTTATTCAGCAACTCATCGGTGCCACGGACCCGTTGTCGCAAGTTATTGGGCTCGAGCTGGCGGCCGACTTGGAACCACATATGTCCGAGGACTTCCAGAGGAACTTGTCCAGCTTGAAGGAAATGCTCGCCGCCAAGTTCAGCTCCAACGATGAGGACATCATCACCGCCGCCACTGCCCTCTGGTGCCAGGTCGTCATGAACGAAGACACCGTCTCTCGCGAACTCGCCTGCTTCATCGAGCCCGTTATCAAGATCGTCGCCACCACATCCAGCGAGACGCTCGCCTCTAACATGCTGAAAGAGTTGATTCAAATCGCGCTTGATGCACCGTTCTTCTTCAAGGGCACCGCCGCGGACGTGATGCCGTTCATGCTCAACGTTGCCAAAGAGAAAGAAGAGATCCGTGAACTGTCACTCGAGTTCCTGATGACCTACGTAGACAGCAAGTACAAGAATGTCGTCAAGATACCGGGGTTCTTACCGTCGCTTGTGGACGCACTGATGACCCTGCTAATGGACGTTGAGGAGGACCCCATGTGGTTCGACGCCGAAAACAAGGACTTGGAAGAAGAGAACCACGAGCTCGGTGAAAGCTACATGGATCGGCTGGCCGGCACTGTTGAGAGCGAAGTCATCATGCCACTCATCTTCGAGAAAGTGGGGCAGTACGTCACGCAGGCGGACTGGCGATGCAAGGTCGCCGGCATTTCGGCTGTGTGCCAGAGCATTGAGTATTTGTCTGCAGATTATGCCATCAAGCAGTTGCCGGAGATCGTGAAGATTGTGGTCGCGGCGACCAAGGACGCACACTATCGCGTGCGATATTCGGCCTGTCGCACGATCGCGCAGATCGCGTTGGACCACATGCCGTTTGTGCAGGAGAATTGTTACGCTGAGGTGTTGCCTGCGCTCATTGAGCGCTTCGATGACCCCGTGGCGCGTGTACAGAAGCAGGCTTTCACGGCCTTCGTCAACTTCGCTGAGGAAGTGGACATCGAGGACTTGTTGCCCTTTGTACCCGTAGTGATGGACAAGGTGAACGCCCGGTTGGACGGCGGTTTCAAGATGGCCGGCGACGAAGAGCTGAAGCCCGAAGTTGCGCTGGCTCGGCACAACATGATTCGCGAACAGTGTGTGACCTCGGTGGCCGTCGTCGCAGGCGTGTTGCGTGACCAGTTCCTGGAGTTCTGTCCACGCATCGTGCCTTTGATGAAGTTGATTGTGGCGCAAGCGGACACGGAGGAGATGCAGCCCATGCGCGGACGCGCCCTAGAATGCCTGAGTATTATCGCATACTCGGTTGGTTTCAGCCATATAGAGGCGGAGGCGCAGCAGATCGTAAATGCACTCATTGCGCTGTATAAGACGGAACGGAAGCCTGACGACCCTGTCACTGACTACATCTATGAGGCGCTGAGGCGAATGACTACCGTCATGGGTCGCAACTTCTCTCAGTTCAACAACGAGCTCGTGCCGATTGTCATCAGTCGCCTCAAGGACGTCGAGAAGGTGCCAGTGGATCCTGAGTTCGATGAGTACAACGATATGAGTGTGGTCAACGAGCGGTCGACGTCGGCGACGCTTTACAGCGGCGTCAAGACTTCGAAGCTGGAGCTGATGCACAAGGATCTGGAACTGCTCATTTCCATTATCGAAAACACCAAGGGCCACTTCGCGCCGCATATCCAGACTTCGCTTGAGGCTGTTGTGCCGTTGCTGGAGCTCAAGCATTCGGACGAGGTGCGCAAAAGCTCGCTCATGGCCATGGCCGAGCTCATTGGCGCTGCTCGTGATGGCCAGGCCCCTAGCGACCAGTTAACGCAGTGGGTCATGAACGCAATGCGGATCGTGCTGCAGGTCGTGGATGACAGCGAGGAACTGCATTATAGCGGCGTGGACCACTTGACTGCAGTCGTCTCTGGCTTGGCGCGGTGCATCGAGAACGCGGGCAAGGGGGTGCTCGATGCGACTCAAATCGAAATGGTTATAAAATGCGTGTGGAAGATGATCGGTACTTCTTCAACCAGGCGCCAACAGATGACCAAATACCAGAGTGACGGAGAGCTTGAGGAGGAGGAGCAGGCGCGATGGGACGACGAGAAAGAGCGCGAGCAGGTGTTCCGTGAAACGTGTCTTAAGGTGATGGAATCGTGCATCCGAACACATCCTGACGAGTTCTTACAGAGCGGCTCCAAGATCACTATGGAACACGTCGAGGCATTCATGGCTGTCCCGGACGCCGACGACCGCGCCCTGGCATGCTATGCGTGCTGTGATTTGCTACAAATTCTTGGCAGTCGAGGTCTCTCGCTCATCGGCACAAAGGTTGAGAAACTCGTGTGGTATATCGAGGACCAAAATGAGAGTGTGCGCCAGGCCGCTTGCTTCGCCATGAACCTCTGCATGAACACACAGGGAATCCACCAGGCCCTCGTCACCGAAACCGCCACCCGACTCCTCAAGGTCATCCAGCACGCCGACGCCTGGCGCCGAGTGAACAGGTCCGCCACCGAGAACGCAGTCTCTGCTCTCGTGAGCATTGTCCTGCACCAGTCGGAAGTCGCCGGTCCCGCCCGAATCGCCGAGTTCGTGGACCTAATCCTCGCCAGTCTACCCATCATCCAGGACGTCGAGGAGGGCAGACTCGTCCACGACAAAATCGTCAAGGACCTCCTCAACGGCCCCCAGAGCGCTTTCTGGGGCAACAACAACGCCAACCTTCCCAAGATCGTGCCCTTCATCGCACACATCTACAGGTCCCAATACGTCGAGGACGAAACCAATCCCCTCATCCGGCAACTGGCTCAAAAGATTGGCGTCTCTGCCATTTCCGAAGTTGTTGCTAACCAGCAACTCACTGAATACCAACAGCGAGGGCTCAAGAAGATTGAAAGAGACTTCACCAACTAAGTCGCGGTAGGTAACTACGGCATGTATCCACGGCACGCAATATCCGTCAACACACAGCACACAGTGTCAACACACAGCGCGTCGACGCACACATGAAAAGCGCGACGTGAATTTTGTTTGGTTCATGGTTCATCTTGAGAAGTGGCCTTAAGCAGAGGTGCCTTCCTTTGCGGGGGTATTCGATAGACCAATCGAGTGTTCTTATGCTGTGAAGATTTTGTACGTTTCAAGGAATTTGTTTGCATCCATTGTAGCAGCATTTTTTTTTGATAATTAAAGATGGAAGGGAAGACAACTGACGAGCCGGCTAAGGCCGTGACGCCGGATATGTCGGCAGAGGACAAGAAGAAGGCGAAGGAGGCGAAGAAGCAAGCGGAAAAGGCGGCGAAGGAGGCGAAGAAGGCTGAACGGGAGGCGCAGCTGGCGGAGCAGAGGCGGGCAGCCGAGGCGGTGTTGTGCAAGACGGTTGCGGATGTGAACGTCGACACGTATGGGAATTTGGGGGTCATAAATTCGGCCACTAAAAGTTTGCGAGTCTGGACGACAGTGTCTGCGATAACTCCGAGCTTGACCGAGCAAGGCGTATGGGTCAGAGGCCGTATAGCAGAGACCCGATGCAAGTCTAAGAGTCTGGCGTTTATTGTTCTTCGACAGCAAACGAGCACGGTCCAGTGTGTTATGAGTGCCACCACTGAAGATGAGAAGGACGCCATCAAGTTCCTGGCTTCCTTGCCGTTGGAGTCCATTGTAGATGTTTACGGAACGGTCACAATTCCGCCGGTGCCCATAACGTCCACGACGCAGCCGGTGGAGTTGGCCATCACGCGCTGCCACTGCGTATCCAAGTCGCTCCCGGAGCTCCCGTTCCAGCTGAAGGACGCGAACCGGCCGGAGAGCGAGATGAACGAGGAGGGCGCGGTCCAGGTGAGCCAAGATACACGGCTAGACAACCGCATTTTGGACTTGCGTACCCTGGCGATGAACGCAGTCATGAAGATATCGTCAGAAGTGTGTACGTTGTTTAGTGAATATTTATCGAAGGAAGGGTTTGTGCAAATACACTCCCCCAAACTTATTGGTGGCGCTTCCGAGGGTGGCGCTAACGTCTTTAAGCTGAAGTACTTCGAACGCGATGCTTGCCTTGCACAGTCTCCCCAGCTGTACAAGCAGATGGCCATCTCGGCGGACCTCGATCGAGTGTTCGAAATTGGACCGGTCTTCAGAGCTGAAAATTCTAATACCCACCGTCATCTCTGTGAGTTCGTCGGCTTGGATATGGAGATGGCTTTCAAGGAACATTACTTCGAAGTTTTGGAGGTAATTGAAAACACCTTCTGTTTTATTTTCAAGGGACTGGAAGAACGTTGCCAAAAGGAAATTGAAGCTGTACACCGCCAGTGGCCGGCCGAGCCATTCAAGTGGGGCAACAAGGTATTGAGACTTGAATTTTCCGAAGGCTGCAAAATGCTACGAGAAGCCGGATTCAGCGACATTCCTGACGATATTTCTCAATTCGATATTGGCACTGAGCAAGAGAAGGCCCTGGGAAAACTAGTCAAGGCCAAATATGACACCGACTTCTACTACATGATCAACTATCCCTTGGGTGTCCGTCCGTTCTACACCATGCCGCACCCCACCGACCCCAGTTTATCGAACTCTTATGACTTCTTCATGCGCGGCGAAGAAATCGTGTCCGGTGCGCAACGAGTTCACGACCCCGAACTACTCACCGAAAGAGCGCAAAAACTTGGCATTGAAGTTAGCACCATCAAGTCATATATTGACTCGTTCCGACTCGGTGCTCACCCGCACGCAGGATGTGGCATTGGCCTAGAGCGAGTCGTCATGCTGTTCCTCGGCCTGAACAACATCAGAAAAGTCTCCATGTTCCCGAGAGACCCCAAACGCCTGACCCCCTGATCTGGCGGTGGTCATTTCCAACTGGGGACTGTTGGATTCGAACTATGGATCCGAACTTGGGGCTCGTGGGACGACTTCTAAATTTCGGATTTTTGTGAAATTAACCAGATGTTCCTCTCGTTGTTAATTTTAGTAGAAGTGGTGTACAGTACCGAGCACGTGCCGATAACCCAAGAGAGCCGATTGGTGTTGCGTTGCGAAGACACAACGAGTGGAGATGACTCGAATCTGAGTTTATGCCAGTGGGGCTGTTATAGGAAATGCATAGCGCCGTTTGCCGGGACGGGCAACGAAGACATAGTGATATCTGGTGTGCAGTTTGAAAGTTGTGTGGAGGAATTACCGGACGACTGCCGACTGCACGGCAGTCTGTACACTCCCGTCCTGCTGGATACTTATTGCATTGGAGACCTGGGTCCTAGTGGAGGCAAGTACTATAAAATGTTCATTCCCGCAACGGATGGGATTATGTATTCGGACACATTTTCTCCGACAAATGTTTTGTTGGGCCTGTATAACCAGTCCAGTACCGTACCCACAGATGAGTGTCTGAGCAACAGCATTTACTACGTCTTGGCACCGACGACTGATGCTCTCGGATACACCATTCAGACTGATGGAATTCAGTTTATCTCTTCTGACGACGAAGCTGGATACTTGAGCTGCCCCGCACTCCCTGAATGGTCCAGTGAACAGAGTGCTGTCACGACCTTCCCCGTCATCTCTGAAACGTCCTACGGTATCCCGTTGACCAACGTCAGCACTGCCCTCTCCATCTCCCAAAGGGGAATGCTCGTCGAAGACAACGTGGTTGTATTCGGGACGCCCTCCAAGTGCCGTATGACATACCCAGCTGATGCGTACCTTTTCCTTCAAGGCAACTTCACCATGGCCACAGGAACTTTTCTTAACGTTGCGACTACAGGCTTCATCGCACTTTTGACAAACGTCTTTTTGTAAACCTCAAACAAGCTTTGCATTGCCCCACGCCTTTTCATTGTCTGTCTGGAGAATCTTTGCTACTGGTTACGCCCAACGGAACAGGTACCAGTACCAGGGAATGTGTTCGGTTGCTGAGCATGAGCTGCTGCAGACTCCTGACACAAATTCCGCGTCTAGTCGTGATCGGAGGCTAACGCCCATCGGTGGCGGCATAAAAAATTCCCCGCCACCCTCATGACAACCGTGCTGGATATCAATGCAATCCTGAAAAAGACAGATAAAGCCATCAAGCATGTACGTCAACACTTTTTGCGTAAGCTCGTGAAGAAGGATAATGAGCAGCACACACTCGCGCGCAACATTCTGCGAATATTTATGTCTTCAGTTACTATGTGAGGAACCCCCTAGCCATCGTGAATATTTGCCTACGGCGTACGATTGTTGTCTGACACAGCAAATACTGAATTCAGATGCAACAAGATCCATGCTTGCGTCGGTCAAAACGGAAATGGAATTGGAGATAAAATCAGATGTTTCCACCAGGATAAAGGCTGACGTCGACTTGTCGTTGGTCGAGAAACGTCGGTTCATAATGACGGACGAGGGTGCTAAATGGCTGAAGCGGGCAGCGAAGGATATTCTGGATTCTAATGAGAAGACGTCGCAGTTGCTACTGAAGGTTTTGAAGAGAGCCAGACAAGGGAAGTCAGACGGGCTCATGGATGAAATACCAACTGGCGACGTGCCAAGCGAGGACGACGTACCGACGGAGGACGGCTCAGGTGCCGGAGACGAATCAGGTGTTGAAGACGGCGGTGTAGATCGGAATGCAAGCGACGATGATGGCATGGGGGCTGCTTGGGGAGATGGGCTGACAGAGGAATGCTGCGATGAGGAGGACGCAGAGCTAATGGAGGTGTTGAAAAGGTATAAGGTTCGAAACGACGAAGAGGACATAGAGAGCGAGGGAGACGCGCGACCCACGGCTTTGGGTAAGACCGACGACGACGACGAGGAGCTCGATGACGATGCCTTCGATAGTAACCTTGGTGATGAAGAGTTGGACCAACTGTACCAATGACCGTGTACCCTGCCTGACCATATGTTGGCCCTACATGCCTGACCATGTGGTTGACCCTGCCTCAACCTGTTTCCGCCAGTACGGGGTATGTTCTAGTACTAGTACTAGTACATGCCAGTGCTAGTCCAAGTTGACTTATAAACCGCTTGTCCTTCAGACTACACTTGTTCTCCGTGTTAGAGTGTAGTGGGGTCAGAGGGATGGGTCGAGGGGATGGTTACTGCGGTTTGTCGCATTTGATTGTCTGCTGCTCTTGCGTTTGTTTTTTGACGGTTTGACAACCATGTTCCTGAGTTGATGTTTGTTGGTTAAAGCATCTTTCATCCTAGACCAAACTTGGACTGCCTCTTCCATTGAGAATTCTCTACAGCAGCATTTGTTTGGTCGGTGAATGATCTTACGGGTAGCATCTAATGGCATAGCATTTTTGTTGTGAAAGATTTTCTTTAGAATATATCGCGATAGTCTTCTTGTTCCAGTCAATGGCCGTGCACACACCGAGACACACTAGCCAGTCCTGGCCGTCGTGATGGTCTGCCTGGTGCATCACGTAAACCACTCTGCCGGTGAAGGAGGCTGTTACAGTATCCGCAGATGACGCCTTGTGGGCGACTTCTTTGTCGGTCACGAACTGAACATTCTTAAGACTAAGTACCGAACCCGATCCGCAGACTAGTCTCTCCAAGAAGTAGGAGTCTTTCCGTTGACAGCCGACCTCTGCCAGACAAATCCGCTTTGAAAATAACGCATACATAACCATATGCATCCGCTTTCGTCGCCGGAACAACGAGTCCAGCGAAGATCGAACTCGAACCACACTCTCCTCAACGGCCGTCACACCCACAGCCGGTGTAGCACTCGACGTGATGTCATTCTGATTACAGGTGATGTCATTCCGATTACAGGTGCTGGCAATCTCGCTCGCAGTAGTTGCATCGAACAACTGCCCGCGAGGTCCTGAAGGTGACAATGCCTCCGATGTGCTTTCAAGAGGCAGATCAAATCCCTCGATATAGTGACTGTCGAACGGTAGCTTCCCCGAGGCGGACGGAGCCCGAAGATAAGGCAGGCTGACGTACGACAAATCCGGCAGTGTTTCCAGTAGCGGCGAGAGTACGTGAGGACTGCCGGGCCGGAACGAGGCACCTGGTAAGCCATTGCCGCACAGGTACGGGGCACCAACGGCAGATTCGTCGCCAACCGAAGCACTGCCAGAACCCGAAGCATTCCCAGGACCCGTATACTCTGGTCCTGTGCCTCCGTGGTGCGTGCCCTGTGTATGGTCGACGGTTTTTTTCCTCCTCCTGAGGATCACGATATCTGTCACGCCCATCATTGCCGAAACCAAGTCCAATAACTGAGAACCCATTCCCGTGTACCATCCGTGCCAGTTGATAATTAGCGGCAACCCCTGACTCTCTTGCTGATTATACAGGGCGCAATATCTATGGTACAACTTCAACAACTTATGTATGGCCACGATATAGTCCTTCTCACTGCCCCTTGGACTCGTTTTTCCTAAGACTTGAGAATGCGAATGCACGTCCGATCCCAGGTCGGGCTCGCCATGCAGCGAAAGGGATACAACCCCAGACACACTCTTAAGCGGTTGGCCTGGATCCAGATCCATAACTGCACAGGCTCTGTAGCGTCGACCTGTGCCATAGCACACGACCCTGTTAGTAACAAAATTCACAAAGGTACTCTTTCCAGAGCTGACAGGACCCACAACAATGACAGCCAGTCGCTGTTTTTTCAAGAGCGCATCAGCACACGCGTCCCAGGAAGGCTTCACCAAAAACACAGACATCTGCGGCTTCCTGTACTTCTGCGGGGCCGTCTTATAACGCAGCTTCACCACAGCCGTTGTTCCTTTAATCGCCTTCATAGAATCCATAATAGACTCGTCGTTCCTCCGGTAATGATACAATCCCGAAACACCATTTCCTGCCGCATACAAAATGGCACCTCTTACGCTACACTCCCCCGCCAAAACCTCAATGTCACAATCACTTTTAAGCCCGATGGAACTTCGGCTGAGCTCCACCAATATCCAGTCCCTACCGTCTTCGTCTTGTACTATTTTCATCCAAAATGGAACGGCCTTCGGGCCACAGCCCAGGCACCTTTATATAACACACCATTCAGTGACGCAAGCCGTTCGATACTACTAACTATGTTAAAGAAAAACGCCAAGCCATACCCAGAGTCCCGGCTGAGGGAGGGATAAGAACCTCAGAATATTGACTAGCGCTTTAAGAAGAACTATTTCCTGCAGGCTAGCCTTCCACGCAAGTCCCGGTTCCGGTGACAGAGGAAAGGCAAACATTAATGGACAGTCGTACCCTTCCGGAAATGTGGGGCTTCGGAGTCCCGTGTTGGCGACTAGAAGTTTGGAAAGTGAAGGATCTTCTGAAAGAGGAGTTACCAGCTCGTATGGGATGAAGGGCGGTAGGACTATGGCAATGAAGTAACTACCACCGCGACGCAGCATGAGATCGCGACGCAGCATGAGACCGCGACGCAGCATGAGACCGCGACGCAGCATGAGATCGCGACGCAGCATGAGACCGCGACGCAGCATGAGACCGCGACGAGACAGGGAACCTCATAATGTCTCGCTACAAGGCCTCATAAGATTCTCCTGTATTCGTGTATAATGCAAGGGGATCCCATGAGGCCTTGTAGTGAGGCTGTGTTCGTAGAGAATGCAGTCTCACAACAAGGCTGAGGCAGTAATCATTCTATTATCGGGCAGCATGTCCAATACACAGTTCCCTCCAGACGACTGAGCATCGGTGACCCACACGGCACAGATGCGGACCTATAATGCCGTTCCACTCCCACAGTTCACCGCCCACGATGGATTTGCTTTCAAACCGACCACCGGCCGCCCAGCCGTGTTCTCCAACTTGGCACACATGATTCTGCTGGCGATGTTCGCTATCGACCGCACAAATAATTCTGCGGCGGGGGCCGTGAGCCCTCGTCCCGGCTATCTTCACGACACAGCACTTTCAGTAGCGTCGGCGGTGGGGGTTAGCTGGTGCAAGGGTGCTTCCGCAAGCCGACGTACTTGGAGTTCTGCCTGACCCGCGGGTAAGAAGCTGAGAATATTGAGTAAGGTTTTAGAGATAACCTTTTCCAGCAAGTCAGCCGTCCACGCAAGTTCCGACATCGATGGCAGAAGAAAAGCAAGGGCTAATGGACAACCATACCGTCCCGGCGTGGTGGAGTTTCCGTGCAATCCTTGCCCGTCACGAAGACGACGTAGCAGGAGACAAGGGGCCTCAAATATTCCTGCACTCTCCACGAGTATATCCAGACTGCAAGGCCGAGCCGTTTTAAGGAGCTCATATCCAGCCGGTATAGTGCCACGGGCCGAGGAGGTAAGTGCACGGTCCAGTAGTACATCCAAAATCCAGTACCAGGGGTGACATATTAAACACATCCGAGAATTCCCCAACGGCGTCAGAAGGCAGCCGGTAAGGTCATCGGCATTTGGCATGGTAAGAGCGTTCCATTTTTTTGGCAAACACCCTCCCGACGCTTGGGTATTAACACAGAGCAGTACTTCCTTGGAGCTTCCAAAGTGGTCATAACGTTGGTACATCAGTATCACCATGTCTTCCAATGGTAAATAGCACACAGTAACTTGGAATACTGCCGGGGCTATCACGTCGGTCCACTCCCACAGTTCACCCGTTCTTATATTCATGGTGAAGAGCGCCACGCTTGTCAACTTGCGAATGCTGTTAAAAGAATATCCGTTAATCAGAACGAGGGGCCCGTCCCCGATCTGAACCACTTCACTGATCTTACAGAGTCCAGGGGGCAACTCGACCTTGTCGATCCAGCGTCTGGCACCAGTATCGTATATGTATAAGAACCTAGCATCCCGGTGCACTAGATCCCGATACGCTAGATCCCGATACGCTAGATCCCGATACGCTAGATCCCGATACGCTAGGTCCACGAATGCAATCAAATAAGTTCCTTCCACGAACAACACTAAAGGCCCAAAAATCGTGAATCCAGACGGCACTGCACCGCCCACAATAAATTCGCTTTCAAGCCGGCTACCACCTCCCTGGCCGTCCCCAGTCACATCGGGAGACCACACGGAACAACATTCCTGACCATGCCCATATTGCCAGGACAGAACAAACACTTCCTCGTGTGTGTAAGCATGATAGTGCTTTCCTTCAATGACCCTCCGGTCCACCATCTTATGTGAAACTTCGGCCGGAGTCGTTCGGGTGCAGCAACGTTTTGCTGACGCCCATCCCAATAGTGAAAAGGCCCTATTCGGACTCGACTTTCAAAAGCTACGAAAAAACAATATGAAAATTCTCGGTCAAAAATACCACCGGTCCGGTTCTACAGCTAGTCTGAAGGCTACTTCTGAAGGACGGTAGAAGTAGTCTTATTACTCGTCAGCTTATTCCTTGTCGTTTTATTCCTTCACTTAGGTCTATTCCTTCACTTAGGTCTATTCCTTCACTTAGGTCTATTCCTTCACTTAGGTCTATTCCTTGTTGTAGTACTCTTGGATGCGGGGTTCGGCATTTACGGCGTTGTACGTCTTCTGCAAACTTTCATACTTGGTCATGTCGACTCCTTCGATGCGGTCAGTGAACGTCTTGACAAAGGCAAAAACCGCCAAGTCCACGTATGTCATTCCCTTCCCATTGATCCAGCCTTCTTTCGACTGTCTGCTGGCGACGACCTTATCGGCTGCGGCCAGCCGCTCTAGAGCGTTCTTGAGTGCCGTCTCCCGATCGCCATGGCTGTGAAGGATGTCACTCAGAGGGGGCAGCGAGTCCTGCACGATGCTATATGCCTGCTCACACACCGCCAGCTCTGTGAAGTCGGTGGGTACCAACCCAGCCTTGGACGCCGCGTAGAGCAGAATGGCCCTGCTCTCCGTCAGGTAACTCCCGTCTTCGAACTGCAGCCACGGTGCTTTACCAGTTGGGGACTTGGCCTTGTACTCTTCATTCCACTGTTCTCGCTGGAACCGGAAATCAGTGAACGGAACACCTCCCAAATGGAACGCAAGCCGAGTGGGCTCCGCCAGTCCAATTAAATCAAAGTAGTACAACGTAGGACTAGACATTACCAAACAGAATTAACGAATTTATTGACAAATTATTGTTCGCAAAAAACAGTCCGCCGTCTCACCTATTTCGCAACCCTGAAATGCCGCCACACACTTGGGCATTCGCAGCTGCATATCTTGACCCTCTGGGGTTATCCCCGAGAACAAAACTTTTGACGACACACTACTAATTTGGTGGCGGGATGAAGGAGACGGAATTGCTGTACTTCGACAACGCGCCCAAACTCAGTTGCCTGGCCACCGTGCTCTCCGTCGAAGGCGAGGGCGTGGTGGTTCTGGACAAGACCGTCTGCCACCCACAAGGAGGTGGGCAACCGTATGACACGGGCTACATGCTCAAAAATGGCACCGGCGCCCCCTCTGCCGGCGGCCGCTGTGACGAACGATTTGCGGACGACCGGTCCACTGATGAAGGCGGGAGTCCGTTTGCCGGCGGGAGTCCGCCTGCTGGCGCGTCTGTGGGTGGCGGCTCCGTCTCCGGCTCCGTCCGGTTCAACATCCGGGAAGTGCGGATGGATAGAGACAAGGGACTTGTGTTGCACATCGGCGACTTCGAGGGTCGTGGCGGCGCATTTCGGCCCGGGGATAGCGTAGAGGTGGTGGTGGACGAAGATAAGCGACGTTTGTATTCCCGTCTCCACTCGGCAGGGCACCTCATCGACGCATGTGTGCGATCGCTCGGCTACGACTGGGTGCCATCGAGGGGACACCACTTCCCGGAGGGGCCGTTCGTCGAGTACACCGGAGAGACCACCGGCCTGGATACTGTGGCAATCAAGAACAATTTGGACCTGAAAGCGGGCGAACTGATTGCCCAAGACCTGCCCGTAACCATCAAGTTAAACGTCAGCCAGGAAGACGCCGCCACCCTCTGCGGAGAGCTCGACCCCATGTACCGAACGGCTGAAACCCTCCGACTCGTCGACGTCGGAGGCTTCATCGGACCCTGTGGAGGCACCCACGTCCATTCGCTTGGGGAAATAAAGCAAATGCATGTGACGAAAATTAAGCTCAACAAGTCCAAAGGCGTCATACACGTCAAATACTCCGTAGAATGATGTAGTGATGCTAATACAAACCACCAGGGCCACTCCACCGAGTGTTGCTACTGAGATCAGGGGAGGAGCAGCAACTGCTCCTCCCTAGTTTTTGGTTGGGAAGAATTGCTTGGTTGAGCCCTTTGGGGTAGTGGTCACATCCGGAGTCGTGGTCACTTCCAGAGCGATTCACTTGCCCCTGAACGTTCTCGTTGCTGGTTACTTTTCTTATGAGCCTGGGCCAGCCGGGGCTACTTTATAAGGGTTCTTTGGGTGGTTGGGGTACAGGAAAAATCTATCTATCATTTAGTTGCTATCTGAACAGATGCAAGGGCGTCCACATTTGCAGCGGCGGCCGGCTGGGCGGCTGCGTTTGCATTTGCAGGTGTGGGCACAACAGGTCGCTGTGCAGCAGCCTGGAGCGCTGCCGACAGCGCCCATCATGGCATACTCTCCTCCGGTGGCCTGCTGACAGTTGCCCCCCTGGAGGCAGCTCTGGCAGCTGGAGGCAAGCTGGCATTGTGTAATAGGGTACGTCGGAGGAGCAGAGTACGCCTGACCGGCAGAGTACATCTGAGCGGCGGGATACGCCTGTGATAGGTTAGATGCTTGGACGGGCATGTGAGCTTGAACAGGGAGCGACACTGCGTGCCCGAGTGCCCTGGGAGTTGATTGCAGGTCCGACGGCTGCAGAACCACTGGGGTAGCCGTCGGCCGTTGCATGACCACTGGGGTGGCCGCGGGCGGCTGCTGCATGACCACTGAGGTAGTCGGCGGCTGAATAGCCACCGTCGGGGTATATTTGACGTACAAAGTCTGCTGAGCGTTAGACCAAGACACTTCCGGGCGCTGCCCTGACGGCGCCATCGTACCAGCCGCAGGCGTCTGTCGCGAGGCAGCCAGCTGCTGCTTCAGCTGCGCATTTTGGCGCTCTAACTCGGCCTTCTTTCTTCCAAAAGCCATTACCTCAGATTTATTTTAAGCCCGGGAAATTTACGGGCAATTATCGCCTGAATTAAGTGGCCAATTGACGGTCGGATTGGCTGCTGGATTGACATGATACTCCGCCTCCTTGCTTTGCCAGTCCAGTACCGCTACTTCACCAGGATTCTGAATAGAAAAAGAAACGATAGAAACGTTCCCACCATCACCACGTAGTTGACTTCACCAACAAGGACGCCTACAAAGTTCCGAAGGAGCCTAGCCAGACTGATAACCGACGACAACCTCTCAGGAACTCGGTTCCTTAGGTTGTCTAAGTCTCTGCACTTGTCGATTAGATCAACTGGTGGACCCACATTACACCTACAGTTGAAACCATGCTCAAAGCGGTGGCGAAAACAATAACCAGGACCAAATTAGGGGCACAGGGATGGGCAAGGCAGGGGACAAACTGGGTCGTGGGCAAATAGACGGGGGATCAAATCCTTACAGGTTCAATTCGAATTGTTTTTGGGCGTACTTCGATGCCCGAATTACTTCGTCATAGCCATCCATCTGGGTATTTTGGATCGCTTCCTTCAGACTTAAGAACCCCTGGTAACCGACTATTAGAGCAAAACCCAAACACTACAGAAATGCATAGTGTGCCGTCCTGGAAGGGTGTGCCGTCCTAGAAGGGTGTGCTGCCGTGGAAGGGTGTGTCGCCGTGGAAGGGTGTGTCGCTGTGGAAGGGTGTGTCGCCGTGGAAGGGTGTGCCGCCGTGGAAGAGTGTCAGCTCACCACTGCTGAAAAGAGTGAGTAGACCCAGCGCCGAAACTGCTCATGCTTGTTCCACAGACTTCGCGGTTTGACGGACCTCGTATATATATGCCGTCTCGTGACGTTCGAGCTTCGGTCTTCTTCCTCATACACCGCCTGCTCTTCAAGTTCGTCCACGTTTTTGGACCTGAGCAAATCGGCGGGCCGTCGGAGCACGCGGCGACAGGACACCGACCGCTCGGGTTGCACACACGTCGGCACGCAGCCGCCCGGATAGATGACCGGAGCGGCACCGCCAGGGGCACTTCGGTCGGGGGCGACACTACCAAATATAGGGCTGGGGAAAGATGTAGTATTCTCAACCTCTGGCCGCATAGAGAGACGCAACACCAGCTCCCGGTCGGGACTGGACGGTGACGCGTCGGAGCGTGGCTGTCCGACGAGATCCAGCGAATTATCCGACAAAATCCCGGTGAGGGACGACTCATCGTTTAGGGGCAAGTCTGGATCCAGCGACGGCGCGTGCTCGTTGAGTGTCTGCACTTCTTCCTCGGGCACCATAGCGTCCTCGTGAGGTCCGACTGACCCCAAGTTGAGCATTCCGTACGAGTTTATTTCCCGCCAAAAATCGGCCCGGCCTCCATGCGGCCCGGTCCGGCCCCTACGCGAAGAACTATCACGCGGCCAGTCGTTCCTTTTTTACCACACGTAAAGCACAGTGTTCGGACACACTTATTTTTTCGATCCGGGCGGCCGTTAGCGGACGGCTTCCAGGCACCGTTGACGGTATTAGTTGGTATTACTGACGGTTCGGCTGGCGTCATGGACGGATTGTGTCTACGGCAACCAGCCAAAGTGTCAAAGCCACTCAAAGCCACCAACCAAAGTGTACCAAAATTGGTGTTGGTTCTGGGATCGATTTTACTGGGTATAAATGCAGGGCATAAATGAGCCTTTTTCCGCCGGTCGACGAATACAAGCTAGAGTGCATGAGACTGCAACGTTCCCCCGTTAAGGGATTGAAGCGGCGCAACGTACAGATCGAGGACGTAACCGACTGTTCAGATTCCTCCTTGCCTTCGCAGCTGGCCAGGTACCACTCCAACGATGACTTGAGTACTCCAGTGCCCCTGAAGCGCTGTTCGGTGCAAGATGACGCCGTTTCGACGGCACCCACACACAAGCCCACACTCCCTAGCTCGGACGAAGAAAGGTTTCGAGATCCCAGGGCCCAGGATCATAGAGAGCAAGATCTCACCACCCCAGATGTCCAAGATCACCGGGGCCGAATAGCCCCAGAAGACCGCTGGCGACTCACCAGCCCCACCAAGGCAAGGCTGCCTACCGCGCAGTGCGGTGCAGTGCGTTATCGCGCCCCCGCACCACCGTTTCAAGCAGGCCGCTCTGTCGCCATTCTGTCGCCGGCGAGACAGTCCTCAGTCGTCAGCCACTCTTCCGGAAACCCCAGGTCAGCCGACCAGCGGAGCTCCGGTCAACGGAGCTCCGACCAAAGGAGCTCCGACCAAAGGAGCTCCGACCAACGGAGCTCCGACCAACGGAGTTTCGACCAACGGAGCTTCGACCAAAGGAGCTTCGACCAAAGGAATTTCGACCGAAATAGCTTCGACCGGAGGAGCTTCGATCGAACCAGCTTCGACCGAAGAAGCTTTAGCTTCGATCGCGGGAATCTGGCCAGCGCTCAGCAAGAGCATAGTGGCTTGTCAACAGAAGAATGTTTCGAGAAAGACTCTTTCCGGCAAACTCACGAATCCCGGCTTATCTGTCCAGACCACTTTGAAGACACTGCGACACAGCTCGACGACGTCCAGTTATGCGCCACAGATCAATTGAACCTACTGAGGAGACAACTGGATTCCGAACGACAACATTTTGTAACCTCCCCCAGCCACCTGAAGGCCGCCCGCATTGTCCCAAATGGTTCCACCCACACCGTTTCACTCACACGTTCGAGTAAACACGAATGATACACACGCGTTCGGTGCACACGCGTTCGGTGCACACGCGTTCGGTGGACACGTGCTCGGCGCACACGCGTTGTGTGTGCACGGATGTTCGGTGGACACGTGTTGGTTCGGCAGATGCGCGGCAATAGCAGTACCATTGTAGTCGGAGAGTCAAATCGAGACTTTTAAGTTCGAGCAAATTTTACGGCAGTGCATTGCCGAGCAGTCTAAGACGATTGAACGGTTGTGCAGCGAGTTGGACCAGCTGAAGGCGGAGCACTCGCGCGAGTTGCGGCAATTGGAGCGCCAATTGGAGGCAATGACATTGCGGGAGGAGAACTTGGGCAAGTTGTTGAGTACGACGCGACGGTTCATCGAAGCGTCACAGGCGGTGAATTGGAAGCTTAGCTTTGCGTAGGTGTCGTGACCACCAGGGCTTCTTGAGCTGGGAGTCGATGATGCAGAGCAAGGCTACAGTCAATAACGGACTCACGTCCGGCGGTGTCTGGATGCAGTACAGAGCGTCGGAAGTCAAGCCCCCTCGGGAGGTCGCGTCCTCCGCCGTGCCATAACGCCCTACGGTCAAAACCGACCGGGTTCGCCTCGCACGCACCGGGACCGGAAACAACTCGCCCTGGAGTGTGTACTCCTGGCGATAGTGTGACGTCCGCGTCACTTCGCATACCACGTCGCCCAGGTCGTACTGCAACACTCCACGTCGCGATTCACCGCGCCGTGATTTTTCCTCCTCCAACGGCGAGGCACTTGGCTCCAACGGCGAGGCACTCGGCTCCAACGGCGTTAATGGGTTTAATGACGCGCCGCTTGGGTCAACATCGCTGTGTACCGCGGGCACGCACGTGCGGTCAGGATGCAAGGAACCTGAGCGCAAGAAGCTTGGGTGCAAGAAGCCTGGGCGCAAGGAACCTTTGCGAGCCCCAGCGTAGGCCTGCGTAGGCGTGTCCAACCCAGGTTCTTTCAGCCTAGGTGTATCCAGACCGGATGCATTCAAGCCGGGTCCCACAGGGGGGTTTAGACTCTTGCGCCAGAACACACCCTTTCTTGTAGGACTGGACGGTAGGTCCTGCCGTCGGTCGCCAGTCTGAACGACTGCACTCTTTTGCCTGTGGCCTGTGAAGTGGTCTTTTGCCTGACGCCTGTGAAGTGGGTCTTCAGTCCGTTGCCCTCTTTTGCGACCACTGATGACTTGCGCAAAAATGTCCGGAGGCGAGCTGACCGGGCTCACCACATGTGGACTGTTAAGTACAAGAGGCACGTGGAGAGTATGTCTGCCATCGTAGATATGATCACAGATGAACAACATGACCTCCCCCAAAGGGGTACTAATCGCAAGTAGTTTCCGACCCATGACCGGCGACCATTTTTCGTAAATACAATACAGCACATCCTGCGTCTCCATACTGACAATATCAACTCCCTGAGTAATCCTGTCGGAGAGCTTGTACAGGTACTCTTTTTGCCCAGTGTAGTAACATTCGATTGTAGAACTTTTAGAGCCAAATGAACTTCTTCTGCTGGATAAAGAATTCAGTGACTTTCGATCCATCATTGAATGGCTAAACTTGAATGGGCGAGCCGGTTGGACTAATTTGAATGAGTTGGGGGAACTCGAATCCGGTTGGCCGCGCTAATCAGTTACAAAAATGAAAAGAGTAGTTACCGGGGTCTGGCCATGATCCAACACCCAGCCAAGACCCGAGACCCGACCGAAGCTAAGAGCGCCGGCCAAAGTGATTTCCTGGTAATCTGCAGCTTCTTGCTGGACCTGGCTCAGGGAGTCAGAAACCTTCCATGTGAGGCGAAGGTGGATCCTGTTGACTGGGTCCACACACTTTTCAAGGGCTCCAAACACTTCAAAGCAAACGAAAAGTTCATCACATACTTCATGCACTCCATGTCCTATTACCTACTGCCCATTCACGCGACTGACGGGGTTTCCCCGACTGACGGGGTTCCCCCGACTGACGGGGTTTCCCCGACTGACGTTGAACCCTCAGTGTGTGTCGAGGACTTCTTTCCGCGCGATTACGACCCGGCTAAGGCGCTGCTGCTCTTCGGAATCACGAGTGTGGTGAGGAAACCGCCCAAACGGAGACCGAAATTCGACGTATACGCCAAGTCGGTAGACTACCTGTATGCGTTGGTAGAAAACGTCTGCTGGAGCATTCTCTACGATTGGCACAAGAAGCTGGCCAGACTGCAAAACTCCACTTGCCTCTGCGGCCGTTGCTTTTTGCCGCCCACGACTGAGCCCAGCCTTCCGCGGGCCGGTTTGGGTAGTGAGGGCGGCTTTTGTCCGTTGCGCATTTTGCTGGCCTTGTTGCAGTCGGGGTCTGACCGGCATAACCCGGCGAGGGGACGCGTTGTGGCTAACGAACAGGGAGAGTGCCGCACCTGCCAGCGACTCTACACGACCAAACTGAAGCCGGCCCCTTCCGCGAATGGACCACCCGAGGAGTCTGTGACGTGTGTTGACGACGGTCATGTGTCCCATTCCGACCAAGACTGCGAGGATGACGAATGTGGATCCACGGACGACGACTGCCAGTTGGTGAGCCTAAGCGATGACGACTGCCAGCTAGTAAGCCTCAAGACGACTGTCAAGACGACTGTGAGTCATGGGTCGCCGACCACCCTGCGGAAACCCGGGAGAGCAACGTCTAAGAACTTCACACCGTCACAAACGTCTAAACCAAGTCAAAAGACGAATCCGAAACAAAAGTCGACGGAACAGGGGAGAGCACGGCCAACCGCTTGTAAGACGGTCAGTAAGACGGTCTGTGCTAAACCCCGGGTTCTATCATGTCGTGCCTCTCAAGGGAAGGGCCCCGTGTCGCCATCCGTGCACTCCGAACAGGACGCTGATGCCGACACTTCATTTACCGCTATTGATTGGCAACGATACAGTGGTGACACTAAAGGGCCGTTGTTCAACGATGGCCACTCCCCCCTGGGCGTTAGCAACATCCAAGGGGTCATGGGTGTTGGTACCTCAACAGAGGAGGCTGACAGTCCTTTGTTCCCAAGCCCCCTAACGACTACTCTCCCCATGACTATGGCTACTCCCTCAATGGCTACTCCCTCAATGGCTACTCCCTCAATGGCTACTCCCCTAATGGTGCGTGTTGACTGGAAACAGTTTGAGGTTGAGCCGCGCCACGTTGAGGAAACAGGAAATCACGGTGCCGTGCTAGGTAGTCGGGATCTGGCCGGTGCAACGGAGCCCCCGCCGAGGTCGGGGACTCCGCCTTCTGCTCGCCGTCCCAGCAAGGTTCTCGATGGCCGATTTGTGGAGTATCGGTTTCTGAAGCCGGAGGTTCGTAATGTCTGGGAAACCCGCAGTAAGTCCTTCTGTGGTCCTGGATGCTTATATCTATACAAGCTGAGTAGTGACAGCAGTCTGACGAGGAGGCGAGTTGAAGTAAGGGATGCTGGTGTTTGTTCGATATGCGGTATTGAAACGCTGGCCGTGTGGGCAACTTACAAAAGTGTGTGTGCGGACATCCCGCATCTTTATTGCAACTCGACCGGAAGGAGCACCAACAAAGGTGCCATCAAGGGTGAGGTCAATAATGGTGAGGAGACAGCTGAGACATGTCGAAATGTTTGGGCAACCCTAGTAAGCCCCTGGGGCCCGAAAGTTACTGAGAGTGTGGGACAGCGAATCTCTCAGCGGATCTTGTCTCGTCAATATTCCGAGATCATGCGAAAGAAGACCTTCGGTTTGAAGGCGGGTGATTTATGGCAAGCTGATCACATATTACCGGTCAAACTCGGAGGTGGTGTCACCAAGAGTTTATTCAACATGAGGACCCTATGCGTTCAATGTCACCGAGAAGTCACTGCTCGCTTGGCCGCATGCAATAACAAGTCTCTGTTTGCCCTGCCCCAAAGCTCTACTCCGACTGGTTCCACAATCAGTCTAGGCCCGGCGGATAACGCAGCGAAAAAGGGAGCGAAACGGTGGCGCAACCGGTTGTAGTACTTCATGCCCCACTTCAGGAACTATGCTCCACTTCAGGAACTATGCTCCGCTTCAGGAACCATGCTCCGCTTCAGGTAGACTCCCGACGACTTTGACTCCCAATGAACTCACCAGCGGGACTGGTGAACGAACCCGACTCTCGGCGGACCTCACTGCAGAGAATGCCTAAATTCGAGGGTCTATTTCCGAATTTGGGCATTCTCTGCAGCGGCGGAAATAGACCCTCGAGGACCTCGGCATTACCTCCAGCGGCAAGCACCGCCGAGCATGTTTAGCTAGGGATTGTCGGCCAGCTCCTTAAGAAGCGATTTTTCATGGCCGCCCCTTTCACAGCAGCGCGTTATCACGTAGAACGGTTCCCGTGCTCGAAGAGGCCATCAGTAGCGCTACGCATGTGATGTCATACCTGGGTGTCGTTTGGCAGATTTTATGCACCCCCGTCCGCCTTCACTGCAAGAGACATAACAGTACGTGACCATGTGTGGGCACATAATTTTCCTACCAGCCTGCAGCGACCGATTGCACAAGCCGCTTCCGTTTTGGACCCGCATTTCGAACTACGAAGGTTTGCAATCATCCAGTCCAGCGATGATAGCTTATTACGGCAATCTGTGTGATTCGCAATCTGCGTTATTCATGTCGGCGATGGTTCAGATATGACCCAGCCGAAGCGACTAATGCCGTAGAAAACTGGCGCGATAACCATCCTCGCGAACTCATCCAATTCTATCCGTAGGCATTGCTCGATTTGAAGGCGCTGCTCGATATAATGAAGATTTAATTCAGAGAAGCGTTTGCAGAAGGAATCAATCAATACGCAGGAATCGTCTCTTCTCGCATCGTTCGTGGTTTGCTGCGAAACACATGTATGTGTGGAGCAACTCATCTTATCCTTCTCGGGGTTCCGTTGTGATGACTTTCATCGCTTGCGGTAACTTTAAAGGAGCGAACGTACAACAAACTGAAAGTTGAGTGCCTCAGCCCTCCTTTCTACCCCGCTCAATGCTAGCTCTCATTTAAGGAGTATTGAATCTTCAGTACAAGGACTGGTGCCTTAATCTTTATGAGAGATAAAGAGCGGTAACAGTACACATTCGCACCTGCATACTGTCTGCATCCTTCGTATATTCCTTAATTAGCGGAGTTCGGGGAACTGGAAGATGGTATCAGCAGTAGCTGATTTTAAGTCAATCACGCCTGCACCGTCTCCACCGAACCGTCGTCGGCGCATCACTACACCAGCCACGGTCGTCGATGCAGTCACAGCATCTTTGCTTTGTCCCTACGGGGAGAATTGAGCAACGTAGGCAGAATTGTCACCGCGGTAGCACGGCTTGTCACAAAGCAACTTATGTGGTTCGGAAAGTGAGGCGGTGGTCGAATTTTGGTGAGCTGTCGTCACGCAATTGACGTACTGCGCCTTCAGTGGCGCGGTAATGAGAAAATCTGATAGCAAGTCTGAATTGCGCACGTGTGTGCGCAATGCGCCGGTTGTTGCTATTTTGGACACTATGCGATGGGTGGCCCACTAAAAGTGGCTACATGGTGAAAAAGAAGGATCGCGTGTACCCATGGGGCCCTCTTCCACCAACAACCACCATCCGGTATCCCCCTCCCCATTTGCGGGTAAGTTATTATCATCCTTACTCGTTCGGCAGCGAAGGCGGAATCCATCTGCCCCCACAAGCACCATCCGATTTGCCAGCATATTTTCCGCCGCTAGCGCCGCTGCCCATGGGTTGAGAAAGACAGAACGGCACCGCCCGGATTTTTTTTTTTTAAATGCAACCCAGTTTCTCGACATCCTGTTATCTATATATCTTCTGTTTGGGGTGCGCACTATAAGCAACGATGGCTTGTAATGATGACTCACTATCACGACAGTCTGCGTAATGATACATTGCCGACGATACAGATATGACTCAAAGTCAGCCCTGATGCCAACCATCGTTGTAAGCACTGTATGGCAGAAGTGGAATGTGTGTGGAGGTAGGATCCCCACTAGCAAGGCACTTCACGATATGATGGAGACCAATGATTTGAATTCAGAGAAGCTTGTGCTGAAAGAATCTATACGTAGGAATCTCTCTGATAAACGGCCATCGTTCGTGATTTGTTGAGAAACACACGTGTGTGTGGAGCAACTCATCTTATCCTTCTCGGGGTTCCGTTGTGATGACTTTCATCGCTTGCGGTAACTTTAAAGGAGCGAACGTACAACAAACTGAAAGTTGAGTGCCTCAGCCCTCCTTTCTACCCCGCTCAATGCTAGCTCTCATTTAAGGAGTATTGAATCTTCAGTACAAGGACTGGTGCCTGAATCTTTATGAGAGATAAAGAGTGGTGACAATACACTTTCATTCCTTCATGCTGCGTCTTGGTATTGTTTTTTATGGGAGGTATGCTAGCACGGTGATACAAGTCGTGTGGTTGTTATGAGTGTCAGGTCCGTGGCGGTACGAAAACCACTACTTTTTGTGACTCTAGCTACCTAGACTAAACTCAAGCATGCGCAGCAGCGCCAAGCACCGCCACGTTTCCTCTCGCAATGAAACACAATCGCCTTGATAAAAATTGAACGATAGATCACCTCCCTTGGATAGATCACCTCCCTTGGATAGGTCACCTTCCTTGCCCTCGCTTCCACCTCTTCTAGTAGCAAGCCCCGTTAATAAGAGGCTTCGGTATCACGCAGCAAAGTCAGAGGCATCTATTTTGAAAACACTTCAACTAACTAAAGCCTTCTACTACAACCATTTCAGTTGTGCGCAGTTGAAACCCTTCCCACAACGGAGACATAGTATGTAGACATCCCCATAAGATAGAACAGCCCCGTACAATGGAACGTAATAGTCCCCATGTGAGCCGACAGTTTGTCCTAAATTTTGCAGTCCTAATTTCACGCGTTCGTTACGTATGGATCTGCTGCGACTTCAGCTATGTTCATCAGTCTGCACTCCGGTACCCGTATCTTCACACACGTGATAGCAGACAAGCTAGAGGGACACTTCGATCTCTGAGCCAAACATTGGTCGTGGCAGAACTGTGACTGGGAAGAAATCGGAAACTTATATCCAGCAGTAAAGCTGGTCCTGCATTTTTCAATGTCAAGGTTCACGCTCGTATCCAACGAGGTACTCTTCGACGCCGTGCTGCCGGCGGTAGTCCTACCAGGACCCGTAGTCCCCCTCGTTGACGTCGCGGTCGATATTGCCATTGGCTTGGTACTGTGGTCAACTTCTTGGTCCACTATACGACATTGTGGCACCTTGAGCTTTACGCAGTCAATGGCAGGCATGCTCACCGGACAGTTGCGCCTTTGCTCTTCACACTGGTCCTCACAATATTCATGCAACGAGGGGTCCGGGAGCTTGTATTTGCCTACAGAATAGAATGTCTCACATTTCTCAATATCTTCCTCCTCCTTCTCATCATCATCGTCATCATCATCATCATCGTCATCATCATCATCATCATCATCGTCATCATCATCATCATCATCATCATCATCATCATCAATCAGCCTGCATCCAGACAATCTGACCTTTACACAGTCAATAGCCGGCATGCCCGAAGGACAACGCGGCTTCTGCTCAGCGCATTGCGAAGAACACCACTCAGAGTTCGACGGGTTCACAAGTTTGTCCTTAGCCACATTAAAAAAGTACCGACACTTGTTGACATCCGCTTCTTGGGCCACCACTGACACGACTAGGGGAATAGTAAATATTCTCATCACCCTGAACTTCTCTGTAAGGATCTCTAAAGATCTGTTGCTGCTGCTGGTAGCCAGCCACACGAGAGAACCAAACCGATTTTTTGGGGGCTTGCGACAACCGCAATCAATGGTGGTACGTTGAGTCTTGGGTTAAAATAAAGTTTAGTCAAAAAACTAGTTTCCGTCGATGGCCTTCTCCCCACAAGCCTTCTCCCCACAAGCCTTCTCCCCACGGGCCTTCTCCCCACGGGCCTTCTCCGCCTCACCAGGATGGATCTTCAGCGTTTTTCCCGGAAATTATTACCAGCGGATTCAGTGTTAAAAAAATAGAGTTAAACGTTATAACTAACTAATCATCCAGAACGAGAGTCTGAAGTCTGATCTTCGTAGGGATATTAAAGTCTCGTCCGTACATCAGGTCCGTTGTCAATTTGTCCGACTTGAATCTGCACTCTACTACGCGTACGTACCTTCACACAAGTAGTAGCCGACAACCGGGAAGGACACTTCGGCCTCCGTGCAGCGCACTGTTCTTGGCAGTACTCTGCTTTAGAAGGGTCCGGAAATTGGCTCCCGGCAACAGAGTAAAGCGTCTTGCATTCCTCAATATCTGTTGGGGTCGTCGTCACCGGCAACGTCGTTGTCACCGGCAACGTCGTTGTCACCGGCAACGTCGTTGTCACCGGCAAGGTCGCTGCCACTTTATAACCAGCGGTACCGGCGGTCTTCTATCCGGATTCAATCCTGCAATCTGCAATCTGGAACTCGAATCTTTACGCAGTCAATAGCAGGCATGTTGGTCGGGCAGTTGGTCTTCTGCTGCGTGCACTGTTCTTGACAGAAGCCTGACTTAGCAGGATCCGCTAGCTTGTCTTTTCTAGCATCATAGAAAGTCTCGCACTTCTTAATGTCCAAATTCACACCCGCCAACGCGGCGGTCGTTGCAGGAAGAGTTACAGCCGTCGTGGCT